TACTGGTTTGTTCATCTGTTTGTTTTCCTTTATTTTCTCTATAGCACGTTTGCTTGATGATTATGACACTCGTTCATTCTTTTTCTTTGTGTTCCGCTCGACCATTTCTTCACAATTTCTCGTTCCTTCTTTATTTACGTACAGCGTTATTATTTGTGCGCTTCCGTCTTTTAAAGCAAGTACTTGACACACGCACACTCACACCCATGCACGCACGCACGCACACACACACACACAAATCTGTGAGTGTGGTGACTACCTCAAGATATATTTTTTATGCATCCAAGCCATACAAGGTAAACATGACGAGTCGCAACTTGTCGTTGACGAAATTATGGTGCGCACTGAACACTTCGAGCACCTGTCATTTCGCTATGCTCCAAAAGCGGCCCAAACACAGGCTTCAACTGCGTCGAATGAAGACTGGTGAGAGCGACGTGTAGGCGCGCGCAATCAAAAGTAGGAGATGAATAATTTTAGCAGAAAGAAACATGGCACGAAGAAAAAAAAAACGCAAGCCGACAAGGAGCGCAGCGCAGTCGCAGCGAAAGTTTGAATAGCGAAATAATCTAGAATCCGTTGTAAACTCTTTTGGAAGTACGAAATACACTTGAAAAGTTCCCATTAGGACATAATAAAATTTTGTCTAGAAGCGAAGCACCCAGTAAGCCTTTATTCGCTTTTTCTGCAGAGAAGGGAGGCACCCGTTTGCAAGCCATTACGTCCATTTTACGTTGTTCATATTGTGATTGATGACAATGAAAACTTACGGCATGGCCTCTTTTGTTGCGTGTAAACTTGAAACAATTCATTGACCCACTTGTTACGCCATTCGCATTGTGCGACCTTTGGCTTTTATCTGTACTCCTTTACATGTTAAAGTAGATATTCGCCGACATGAAGCTTTTCTAGGGTATTTTTGCAAAGAAGTTTCGAACACCATCATGGATCTGTGGTGGAGTACTGGGATGCAATCGAGACGCCCCAGGTTCAAACGCCATTCCATCCTGGGCATTTTTTTTTTCATTTTGTGACATTGTGGTTACGAACAACAGTGGCACCGGCGGCTATAATATACAACTTTGTGGGTGTATCTTGTATTCATACTTAGGCTGCGACCTGCTATAGAAGATCCGGTGCTGGAGGAGTACGCGGAGCTACGCATTAGGAAGCTGAGGCCTGTTTACATCGATACCGTATATTCAAGTGTATAATACACTCCAGCGTATAAACCGCACCCCCAAACGTTAGCTACGGTAAAATTTCAAAAATAAAGAAAAATACCTGGGGTATTAATAGGCTAAGCACTGTTGGGGAGCCAACTTGCTCACAGAAATTCGCGTCGAAAATGTGGTAAGTTCTTTAAAAGTTTGATATCAAATTGAACTACAAATTGAAAAAATTCGTTTTTTTTGCGTGTTAAACACACGTGGGCTCGACAACTTCGCGTCGTGTTCCTCCCAGCATCACTTTCCTTAAGTTCAGTTGCAACATAGAGCAGCTAATTCTCTCGGACTGGAAGGTCAATAGCCCTTCAGTTAACAGCCAGACGTGGCATAGTTTGTAATCTGTGTCGCACAGTCTGTGCTCAATCTTGGGTTTGATTTGAAATGTGAACAATAGGCCCAATAAATAATTCCAAAGACATTCTTCAAAACTCGTCCTTGAAATCTAATGCGGCGCACCTTATTTCCTACATACCTCCGTTGCTCCTATCAACACTTTCGGTAGGCTACCAAGGAGCTTTAAAACCTGAAGACAACGACCATTTATGACTGTACAGCTATGCTGCTACCTTAACTCGTTTTAACCAGCCCTGTTCTGTAGGTACAAGAAGAAGCAAACAAAGCATCAGTGAATTTAATTAACAGAACATATAAAATACTAAAACTTACTTTGTAGTTTTTTTTGCAAAAATGTCATTTACTTGGCGTGTATAAATAAATGGTTAATGTGAAACTCCCAAAATGCAGTGTAATCGACACACAGTGTGCGTAGAGCTTCAGTATTTAGTATTACTGGATGGATCGAACCAGGATTGAAAATCGTTTTGGGGTTACTCAATGCGAGACCACCGCGCGCCTATCGCACTTGGCATCGAACGACACGCATCGCCATGTCGTCTGTTACGCAAGCGTTCTCCTTGAGTGCTTTATTCGCGGAGGTGCTTCTTCGAGCGACACTGATATCCTGTGGCAGTTGCAAGCAGCAGTGTATGGAATCAGGTTGTTGTGTTTCTACTGCTGCGCCTGTCGTGTGTGAATTTCTACTGCGACGTTGATGCGAGACAAGGAAAGACGTCTCGGTGATTGGGCGGTAAAGAAACGAGGAGATAATCTGCATCTGCCATTCATCCTATATGGACTAAATGACAGTTTTTACCGCATATACGTCAAGTGAATACCACTTCTCTTCTCATAAAGAGCACCGAAACGCCAGGAGAGTGACGTGCTCGTTTTTCGTATATTCAGAGGCTGTTTAGGAGTCCGTTCTGATCTATGAAAGAATGTCCCGTGAATTTCACCAGACAGCTTAGCGGGGGTTCTGGTGAAGCGACCTAAAGCAATTGCAACACTTCCGCCTGCGTGTCCGAGAGTCTTCTGGCTGTCCGTGTTCACAAGCGCTACCCTTTTCGTTCAAATGCTTGGACGTGAAAGAGTGTAGTACAATCCGTAGTTACGAAATTCAGTCCCACAAAGGCTGCCAAACCGAAGATGGTTGAAGGTTGAAATTGAACAGGATGTGAAAAATGTATAGCCGCTCGATAGAACACAGCTCTCATAGCTCATACATGGGTCATTGCTGAAGGAAACGAGATGCCTGGTTTCAACGAAGCCACAAGCGCGGTTCGCCACCCACACGTACGAGGCTAATCCTTGTAGTACCCATCATTGCCATGTTCGCTCAAAGATCACAGCGCCAGAGTCCATTCTAGTTAAATTTAGGAAACTCTATGGTACAAGCATTCACTGCAGTCATGCCAGAGGACATGTGATTATCATAATGAGTTCGTGTTTTAAAGCCAGTTACCCACTACAAATGGCACACACGGGCTACTGCGCCTGTCCCTTTAAGGCGACGTAGTGGGTGCACAACAAATTCAAAAAGGTGTCATGCCCTATAAGTATTTGAAGTACACCTATCTTTATTGCAGAATTTTTAGCCGTAGTATTGGCCCTTCGAAAACTGCCAACATCAATGAAATCCGCCGTAATAGTAAGAGACTCCTCGTCGGTCTGCATTGCGCTCATGGCAACCTCGAAAGCATTAGGCGAATTCAACTCCCTAGTACAGAATCACTTAACCCAGGTGCGATTAGTATGGGTGCCGGGGCATAGCGGCATAACTTTAAATGAAACAGCTGATGCACTAGCGAAAGTGGCGTTAGACGGACCAGCTATCAATATGACCCCTATGACAGTCTTTATAGTAGCTTCTAGATTTCGGAGGCAAATGATAATGCGAGAATTATCTACACCATCTTTTAAAAATTCTCTGGATTTCAACCACCTAATGACACCCCGGAAAACTTCCTCATGTCATAACCGATGGCTGGAAGTTTTAATCACTCAATTTCACTGTCGTATTCCTCCATTAAATTTTTATTTGTTTAGAGCAGGCTTGACTCTCCACTTTGTTCTTTTTGTGGAGAAGAGGAAACTGTGGAGCACTTTTTCATCTCTTGTAGAAAGATTTCAACATTAAGAAAGGTGTCACTAGAAATACCATCACGAATCCTTGGTTTAGCTTTGACAACGTCAAATTTACTATCCTTAGGTGCACACACCCTAGGGCACAGCAACGCGAAAGTGGTCACGGCCGTGCAAGATTTCATTGTACAGTCTAAGAGACTTATTTAATGACCTCAATACCAATAGGTTCTCAGTTAACTCATGTAGGCTATTGAAAAGTTGTCTTTGACATCCATCAATTATTGCTCAGTCAGTAGGAACTAATTTATGAAAATTTTTTTTTTCTCAAAAATAATTTACAAAAAAACAATATTTCTGTTAACTTTGATTTCGCTAGTATCATTTATATACATTCATTTTTTTTGGTAAGCTACCAGATTCTTGGCCGATCCCCAGAGTGGGTGTGAACCTGGAGTTTAGGATCTACATCTACATCTTCTATACCCGGCGACAACTTTCTGTGGCAGCACGGCCAAGGCTACGTGGGCGGAGCCTATGCACATGTGCTACTGCGCCAAGTAGTCCGACCGCTTCGACGGGTGTTTCGGTTTCGATTTCACCAGCGCAGTCCGCGTCAGCGCATTCCCACAATGGTGCCATGTGAAAATGCGGTGAATTACGATCTGCGCGCAAGCACCATCGAGCTTAATCACGCGTGAATGGCGTTCATCGAAGACATATACACATGTATATCTATCTAATTTGCAACAGTGATATAACTGTTCATAAAATTTATTTTATTTGCATCAGTATTTGAAAAAAAATTTATGGATTCGGCAATAAGTACTCAATTTGATATTCATCTCGTCCGCAAAAGACACAGGCTGTGTCTAAACGCAGCGCGACGACTTGTAATGCGATCTTTTACTGCGAAATATAGCAAAGCGTAAAGCCCTCTACGAGAACAGACTCTATTTGTAACGAATGTCGGCGCACTTTTATTGTGGGAAACACATTAAAGGGACCGATAAGCTCAGGATAGGGTGGATTGCAAATCGTTGGGAGAGGCCTTCGTCCTGCAGTGGACTTAAACAGGCTGATGATGATGATGAAGCAATTTTTAAGGTGCCCGTTTTCTTTATTTCAACGGAAATATCTGTGACAGTGCCCAATCATGCAATGGAAACGGGGAAAACGCCGTGGAACATTTTTTATGAGAATTTTTTATGAGGTTAAAAGCAGGTATTCGGTTGGTATTCGGTATATTCTGGCCAGTTGTCGGTCCCTTTAAAACGACATGTGCACAGGTACAGAACACAATATTATGGTTTACATTCACTGTGTTTACATTCACGACTGTGGTTGCATTCATGTGAGGTATTCCAGTTCGCTCATATTACTGTCACTACCGTCACTCTCGGTGCTGGACTCTGACCCGAGTGGAATTATAAGCTGGTCGAGCTTTGAGCCGATGAGGCCGTCACGTTGCCACAAGTCCTCTTCGATTTTTTTCACATGAGCACATGCCTGGAGCCAGTTGTCTGGCGTTACGCGATCGATGCTTTCACGCACCAGTTTTTCAACGCCGGCAAGGGTGAATGTTGTGTTGTTAGCAGCGACGTAACCTTTCACCTGGCTCCATATCAGTTCGATCGGGTTAAATTCGCAATGATACGGAGGAAGCCTCACGACGTCGTGACCGGCAGCCTTCGCCAAAACATCCACGCGATAGGCGGAAAACATCTTCTTGTGGTCGTTCACCAAATCCAACAGCTCAGCTTTCAATTGGTCTTGTGAAAACACGGTGTTCTTTTCTGTCAGCCACGACTGAATGCCAGCCTTTCGAGATGACGATGTTGGAACTCTATCGAGGCGGACGCTGTGGTACGGCGCGTTGTCCATTACAATGACACTGCACGGCTTGATATTGGGCAAAAGTTGTTCACCGAACCACTTCTCAAAGCGCGGCCCGTCCATTTCGGTGTGGTAGTCCCCAGATCGTTTTGCAGCTCGGAAGAGAAGGCATGCAGAATTCAGAAACCCGTCCTCACTGCCGGCGTGCAAAAGGATGAGCCTGCCACCTTTGCCGCTTGGTGCGCGACGCCCTGTGGTCAGGCCTTGCCGAAAGGCCTCCTCCCGTGTCGTGATGTTCGCGTCTTCCCATACTTTATCCTTTGTGTGTCCGGCGTTGACCCAGGTTTCGTCAAGGTAGTATATGGGTCTGGAAGAATAAACAACAGAAATGAAGCATGTCATCTGCAGCGAAGCGCGGCGAATGCAGCGAAACTCGGCTCGTGTCACCATTATTAAAAATTGCTCGCGTTTCGGCTCGCGTTTGCTCGCGTTTCGCTGCAGGAAACGCGAGTCGCATCTTTGGGAACTCGAGAGCAATTTTTAATAATATTGTGACGTGATTTACTGACGCGTGGACCCAGGTTGCTGGGTGAATGATACATTCAATTATTCATGTAATGGTTACACAACTCATCATGCACGTACCGTTTTTGAGCGCGAAGTTGTCAGATGGTACGCAGGTACCGCCGTCGCCACGTGATGATGTCGTCTCTTTCCAAAAGCTCACAGTTTCTCTTCCGTTTGCGAAAGGAAAAGCCGATATCGTTAAGCAGCCTTTGCATCGTTCACACGCTCATTTTAGGCATGTTCATGTCACTGTCACTGGTTACATCTTGAGCCAGTTTTGCAGCTGTTGGGAGTTCATTCCTCAGAAAGTATTGATGCACTTTTCTTCGTAGAGCTGCGAGAGAGAAGCTGTCGTGAAGCTCCAGTCTTGTCTTCCCGGTTTTCGCACAGTCATCCATGGCGGGGAGGCGCAGGCGCTTGCGCTTCGGTGACTTTAGGGTTCCACTGTTAACGTCGAGCTTAATCCGGAAGACACTGCGCTCGCTAACACCAGTGAGCTCGCTGACTTTCCGACATGCGGCTCTCACAGACAGCTGCGGGTCACTTTTCCTTACTTGAGCGTAAACGTTGTACGCCACCTTCTTGGCCTGTACGGACAGCTTTTGATTTGACAACGCCTGGTACGGCTGCGCAGCTGGTGGACTCGCGGCACGCGGCGGTGTTTCCTCCGTAAGCGACGTTGACGAGCTGTAACCGGCGGACGCCATCTTTGAAAGTGAGGAATGCGGTGAGGTAAAAAGGCGACGGAAGCCAAAAAAACCCCCAAAAACCTGAGAGAGCGTGAAACGAAATTTTTTCTACTGCGCAACGTTTTTATTCACTAATTAAAAAATAAATCCGCGAAAAATGTAAGTGACGAATGGTAAAATCTTAGTTACCCAGAACAGTATACAAACGTTTTCGTTGAGGGACTACTAGCTGTGGCGCAGTAAGACAAGCGTGCTTCGGCTCCGTAGCCTTAATTGGCTGTGCTACCACAGAAAGTTGTCGCGGGGTATAGGGACAGAAGACCGATATCGCGTTCAACTCCTAAATGTGAACCTGTATGTAAAGGGTCCCCTACATTTTTCACGTTTCTTGTATTTCTGGTGCTGTTTTAGTTGCAGCTCAGTAACAGAGAAAATTGTCTGGCCCTATTCGAACACAGCACAATGTGAGAATAAGTCACTACCACAACCACCAAATACACCGTGCTCAAGCGACCTATCATTAAGATGTGAACAGGAAACTTCGCGTCAACACTGCTTATGTGTAGACTTTGGCACAAAATAAGAACGGAGTGCAAACAGATCAGACAAGCACTGGCACGGTGTCATCTCTTTGTTGTCCACCCTGAATCGCACTGCTCTTCACCTTGAAAGTTACGCCCGAACAAAGCCCAAACGAAGTTTTATTGAAGCTTCAATATCGTGAACAAAACTGACGCTTCAATAAACTTTTATTAACAATATTCAAAAACATTAGAGGCTGGTAGTTTCTATTCAGTAGTGATACAAATCGTTCAACACACAAGATCACTGGCGAACAGGCTATAAAACGCGTACTTGGTAGACCGTTCGGCGACGCATAGGATTCCCTATCAGGCGCAGATTTCTTGTGTTGACGACATCTCTGCTGAGGCGGTGAAAGTGAGTTCACTGGAACTACTCCCTCCTACCAAGTCTTCCTTCGGCGGTTGCGGCTGCTACATGCTGTGGATTGTTTTGGCTCGATGTACGCGCAGGCGAACACTTGGTAGGACACTAGAGCACAGCGCTTGCTGAACAAGAGGTAGTCACTCTTTTCACGACTTCCTGCATTGTGTTAGGAAGGTATATTTATACATCGTCAACGCCACCAGAATATATGCAAAAGCGATGGTGACAAAGTTTTGGGGAAAAAAAGATGTGACATGCAGTACTGAGTGCTGCGGTCCAAAGCAGCAGCGAAGCTTGAATGAACGTTACTTATGCATGGCTCAAGCATCGAATCGAAGCATGTCTGCTTTCTTAAGGCTCACTGATTCTAAAGTTGGCAAAATCGCGTCATATGTGAGTGATTCACGTTAATAAGATCGATAACGGGGCTAACCTGCTTCACAGGGGCATCTTGCGCGAGACGTCGACATCGCATAGGCTCCTGCGATGTTGTCCTGGATGTTGTCGCAGATGTTTGTCTGTTCGGGGGCCGCCGTGTCGGAACCCACGTGGCCATAGCCTGCCAAGCCTTGCTGCAACCGTTCGCCCTCTCGCGGCGCCTTATTAGGTCTGCTCCGCCATCGCGTACTCGTCATCCGGCACTCCATCTTGCCTGAAGTACTCTCGCTGTCGTCTTCTTCGAAGTGATGGATGACAACTGTGAGCTCCTGGAGCAGCCTGGCTTCGTCGCGGCAGTCAGAGCTGACGACTCGTTTTTTGATTGGCTCCCCAGACACCTTCTGACAGGCGCAACGTGGCCTCGAGCCTCGTGCCCCACGTGATTAGTCGACCTTCGTCGTCTTTGCCTCGCGCAGCCTTAGCCATCACGTAGAGAAATTCTTTCTCCTTTTTTCTAATTTTGTAAATAATTATAATATGAAAGTATATATGCTCTAATGCCTCAATATATTAAAACAGCAATGTGTAGTGATAGTGTGTGACGATAGATATATAAATGACTAGGTATCAGTTTTGTGAAAAGTAAGGTAAAGCAAGTATTTTTTCGCACTTTCCATTCCCTGAGCAGTTTCATTCCTGTATTAAGCACGTTTAATGAAAATACTGATAGATAGATATGTGCGGTTTAACGTCCCAAAACCACTATTTGATTATGAGAGACGCCGTAGTGGAGGGCTCCGGAAATTTCGACCACCTGGGGTTCTTTAACGTGCACCCAAATCTGAGTACACGGGCCTACAACATTTCCGCCTCCATCGGAAATGCAGCCGCCGCAGCCGGGATTTGAACCCGCAATGGCAATACTAAAGGCATAAATAATTCTAAGATCATGTTTTGCGGATAATGGCACACTCCCTCAAATGCTCTGATAGTGCCCGGTGTTTCGTAGCGCCAAGTTCAGCACAAAACAGAGGACTTGGAGAAGGCCCTTAGAAACTACGATCTCTCAGTTCAGCTCTCCGTAGTCCAGAGGCCTGCGACCTGGCGGAAGGTCATGGTCTTTCAGTACCGGCGTGGGCGCAGCCAGCAACTGCAGTGAACCCCCCACTCCTCATTTTTTGGGATGTTAGATCGGGGTCATTCAGGACCAAATAAAGTTCATTTAACCTGATCTCACGTGCAATCTACATGTTGGCTGTTGTAGTGTGCAAGCCGCAACAAAATATGGCCTCAAGAAAACCACTCTCCTCAGAGTTTACCATCTTCTGTTGATAATTTTGCCTAATTGACTTCGCAGTTAGTTACTCATAGAGCAAGAGGAGATGCATGTAATTCTAATATTTGTTTGTTCAAATTTTAAAAGACAGAAATTATGAATACCCGCTGCAGTGTCTTTGACTACGAATTAGAGGGTCACACTTCCGCCCTCCAGGGCGTATAAGTTCGACTCTCGGTTATGACGGCCACTATTCGATGAAGGCGAAAATCGGGAACACCCGTGTACCTACATTAGGTTAACTTTAAAGAACACCAAGATATCCTCAAATATTCTGAAGTCTCCCACCGAGCCCTGCCTCATAAGGACATCATGCGTAAACTCACAGAAATTTTCATTTATTTGAAATTTTGGCGCTTCAAGTGGCGGGTTGCTTGGGTTATGTGGCATTGGCTGCTGGCATCCTGGTTGTGAGACCGGACGAGAAAATGGAGGCTTTCTGGTTTTTTTTTCTGTGGTCTATGCTGGAAAATGATTGACACTGCGATCCACTTCAACTTCTTTTTGTCATCCACTCTTGGTTTCTCAAAATCATCCGGAAGGAAGTGGTCCTGTTGATTATTCGTCAGAAAAAAAAATGTCATTGACGTTACTTTGGCCTATTGTTTCAAAAAAGTCGTGAGAAATCATTGAATAGAGATTATATTTGCGGCCAACATCTTGAAAATATCACTTTTCGTTGCTGGGGCCACAACCACGTTCCTTAATTATCAGAGGCGTTTTCATGTACGGTTTTTGCTCACAATTTCCTAGTTTCAAATCCAAAACAGTATAAAAGGGTGCTATATCAGATGAAAAGGCAGGCATGGAAAAGGGGGGCCCCGAGTTGTGTAGTACAACAGTGAAAGAAACAAGAGCACAGTTGAAGCAACACTATAAAATAGGACTAGGCAACTTCATTTAAAATAAATTTATGCAAACGGCTGTCCACACTTATTCAGCTTTATAAGTTGGAATATGAAGGGGAAAACGTGTTGATGAAAAAGGAAGAAACCACTGGCACCTTTTCGTTCAAACTTTGTATGTACAACTAAACCAACTTTCCCGAAACGCATTCTGCAGACACACTAATATTAGTGGCACTTTTTCGCCATTCTCGGCCGGCTAACCATCGTCACAAAGTTATGGAATAAATACCCGCAATACGATCGCGTAAATCGCAAATCAATCCTTTTTCATGCGCACTCTCAGTTGTGTTTCTGTCCCGTTAATCGGAGGCTTGTCGTGCCGTCAATGCCGACTGGTTAAACACTTCACACAATAAATCTGTTCGTATGAGCGTAGCACGCAATTGCTCGAACAAGCCGCGCAAACAGAACGGGTAAATATTTCAACCGCATTAGAGCGTGCCCAGCAAACCACCGCATCTCTCATACAACACTGCTAAGACGCAATTGAACAAGCGAACACACATGAGCTGTTGGTCCATTTATCTCACCTATCTGCTATTCTAATCAGGAGAGCAAAATTAATTATCACCAACTCGTCCAACTTGTAACGCTACTTTTATTGCACTTGGAGACTTCACCAAC